TAATTAATTGGATTATTTATATATTTATGTATATTAATGTATATATTTATTTATTTATATTTATATGTGTGATTAGTTACCAGACGATCCATTTATCTATGGATTAGGTGAAATTGTTTATGCTTTACGAAGAAATCCAAATGGAACTTTACAAACTATTTGGGTAAATAATCACATTACGTTTATATATATCCATAAAATAATTTTCTAAAGTATTTACTCCCTCCTCTTCTATATAGACAAGAGATGCTCCTACTCCAATCGATCAAAATGGTAAAAATGTTAACTATTATTATAGCTATAATAACAATAATAATTAACCAAAAATATGAATTTTTGTTTTTATTTTATTTTAATTAAAAAATTAGTTTATGGTGCTCATCCATTTTACTTAGAGATGAGAGATGGTAAAGCTCACGGAGTGGTAAGTGACGATTATTACTATTATCAATAATTATAATTATTAATCGAATAATAATCATAACAATAATAACAACAACAATAATATTTTTATTGTTTAAATATATTTTTTTTAAATTACCAACTAGTTTTTAAGAAATTCAAATGGAATGGATGTTAAAATTTTACCTGGAAATCCTGCAAAATTAACTTGGAGAGGTAAAATAAAAAAAAACATATATTCTATTAACATATATCTATTTATTATTCATTGATGCATCTTTATTTTTTTAATAGTAATTGGTGGAGTATTTGATTTTGTTGTATTTCTTGGACCATCACCTATGGATGTTATAGCACAATATACAGATGTAAATATTATTAATTATTAATTAATTATTTAATTAATAGTTATGAATTAATTTATTTATTAATCTATTAAAATTTAGGTCATAGGTAGAAGTGAGCTTCCACCATATTGGAGTTTAGGATATCATCAATCTAGATGGGGATACAACAATGTAATTATTTAATTATTAAAAATATTTTTTATTACGTTAATATATATTTATATTTATATATATATTTTTTAAAAAAACCATACACACGCATATGTATAGTTGTCGGTTTTATCAGATGTTGTTTCAAGATTTCGTAAAGAAAATATCCCACTAGAAACAATTTGGACCGATCTTGACTATATGGAAGGTCGTAAAATATTTACTTGGGATAAACATAATTATCCCAAAGATCAAGTAAAAAAATTTATTGATGAATTACATAGAAACGAGCAACATTATGTTGTGATAGTTGATCCTGGTTTAAAGATTGAAGATGGTTATGAACCATATGATGATGGTGTTAAAAGAAATGTTTTCATCAAAAATTCAGATCTTGATAACGTTGTTGGAAGAGTATGGCCTGGTAAGTAATAAAATTGTTTTGGTTTGAAAATTTTTTTTAAGAAAAGGTATTTTTTAATTTTTTTTTAACGTAATTTTTTATAGGTTTGACAGTATTTCCTGACTGGTTCAACAATGAAACAGAAATTTACTGGGGAGATATGATTGAGAAATGGTTGGATGGTATTAATTTGGATGGGCAAGTTAAAAATTGAATAATATCATCAAAAGTATTATTAATAAATATCACTTGTAACAATTAATAATTTTAATAAATATAAATTAGCATATGGATTGACATGAACGAACCAGCCAATTGGTGCAATGGCGAATGCGGTAAAGAAGATGGAGATGATGTTGTATTGAATAAACCATTATATAGAATAAATAATGGTGGATCTAAACTACAATTGAATACTCTGACGCTTCCAATGAATGCAATACACGTGAACGGTTTTACTGAATACAATGTACACAATTTATTTGGTCATATGGAAGCTATTACTACCCATAAAGTGTTAGCTGAAAGAATAAATAAAGGAAAACGACCTTTTATAATTTCAAGGTCTACCTTTCCTGGTTCTGGAAAATACACTGGACATTGGACAGGTGATAATAAAGCACAATGGGAACATCTATATTTGTCTATACCAGGAATACTTAATTTTCAGTTATTTGGAGTACCTATGGTTGGGGCAGATATTTGTGGGTTTGATGGTCCTACAAATGAAGAATTATGTTTACGATGGATGCAATTAGGGTCATTCTATCCATTCATGAGGTATAAAATATACTAATTATAATTATACAGAATGATGACAATGATAATATTAATATAATTTCTATTATTATAATAGAAATCACAATTCTTTAATGGATCCAAGTCAAGAACCTTATATTTGGTCTTCGGTTAAAAAAACTTCGCGTAAATATTTA